TCGCCCAGAACTCCTTCAAACTCTTCGAGGAGCTCACGCACATCTCCTTGTTGTTGTGCGTCCTTGTTCGAGTGTGCTCCTACGTCCTCGACTATTACTGCAAAAATTTGGGCTCCACCTCGCCAAACTCTTTCAATATTTTTCAGCCCTACTTCCTTGGTTTCTTTATCGGTGTCGGCACTTAGGGTGACTAGACGACCTTCGGAGTTGAACTCCATAACTCCAGTTCGATAGTCGGTCGTCACCTTGCCTAATCCTTCGAGCCACTGGACTCCCAGCACGACATCTGGTCCAACTAGTGGTAAAGCATACAGATCAGCTTTTACCGTGACTCCTTGGAACTTGATTAGCACCTTCCGAAAAGACTCAGAGCATTGCAACCTCTCTCCATTGGCTACTCGTACCTCAAAGGGCTCGATTTTTGTGGTTGGCAATCTCAACTTTTGCGACAAGTCAGCATTGATGAAATTATGTGAGGAACCATTGTCTACGAGCACCATTACTCTCCGATCCTTGACCCATGCGGGTAATCGCATTGTCCTGGGCCCTCTGATTCCTGCCATTGCATGCATCGAAATCTCGGGCTCCTCTCTAAAGGCCTCAATCTCGTCCTCCTGAGGCGGTTCCTCCTCGACCTCATCCTCCTTGTCGTCCGGGTTGGCTACCTCAATGACAAAAGCTTGCTTGCACTGATGCCCCGGAGTGAACCTCTCCTCGCACTTAAAACAAAGACCCTTCTCACGTCGCCGCTTGACCTCCTCGGGAGACAGCCGCCTTACTATCGATCCCACTGACCGAGTATTAATGTTCGGCCGTGTGCTGGTCGTGGCTGGGTTAGGACCCGTGCGACGCGTATCCGTGAATCGCACGTCCGCCCGTCCCCTTCGCGTGGCGACCAGGTGATCTTCTCGACATCGTGCCACTTCCATCGCTTCATGCATGGTGTCGGGCCTCTCGAGCCGCACTTCAGCGGCCAGGTCAAATTTCAACCCGCCGATGAATGCGCCAACCAGGGCATCTTCTGGCCAATCGCGCACGCGGCAAGCTAATCGTTCGAACTCCTTAATATATTCGCGTAGGCTGCCTGTTTGCCGTATTCGCGTAAGAGCCTCATTGTAGTTATGATAATCGGATGTACCAAATCGCGTAAGCAACTCTTTCTCAAAAATATCCCAAGTAATAATTTGCTGTCGCTTGCGATAGATCCTTGTGAGCCATTGCCACCATACGTTGGCCTCACCATCAAGATAATAAGCTGCGTATCTCACGCGATCGGGGCCGTCGGTTTCATTAAGTTCAAAATATTGGACTGCCCTGTGGAGCCATGCGTCCGGATCGCTACCTGTGAACGTGGACAGCGTGATGCGCGGCTTGTCGACCTTCGGACATTCGTGGTATGTGGACGCCTGCGACTGCCGATCGAGGTCGTCCTCGCGCTCACGCTCCTCGCATCGCCGATCTTCCCCTTCAGGCCGCTCGTGCTCGTTCCGCCGCGCCCGATCGTGTTGCTGCGGTGGTGGTAGGCGAGCGAGAACCGTGCGTGCCATCTCATCAAATCGCCGGTTCATGGTCTCCATTAATTCTTGCACCGTGGATTTGGTATTACCAAGTCCTTCACCCAACGTTTCGATAGCCTCGCTTATACTGCGAAATTGGACATCGAGATTATCGATCTTGTCCTTCATCTCTTTGTTGGCCATAGCTTTCTTCTCTTGCTTGCGTTCCTTGCTTCGAGGACTCGTGTTT